TGTTCGCTTTATTTAGATGAGCACCGAGTTGAATGCAATTCTTGAATTTAAATAACTCGGGTCTTGAGAAACCGTGTAAAGGTATGCCCTTTTGAGAATAATAATATCTCCCTGTATATTTTCGTCAACTGTCTTTCCGTTTGGTGACAGTTTGAGCATGTATAAATATTCTTAGCGAGCAGAAGTTTTGTTTTTCTTTCATCTGATTTATGTTCATCGTTTTAAAGATATTGTCATTTAAAGAACAACGTTCATTAAAGCCATAAACCAGCTCTATTTTGCAAAAGTATACATTTACATGTACTCGTATATATAGATACCTAACCGCCAGATATCTGACCACATTTCATTACTTTTTTGTTGATCACGAAATTGCAATCAATACATCAATTACAACCGTCAGGCCATCCAACTTTTAAAGTATTAGCGTCTCCATTAAAGTCACTAATTGAGATGTGCAGAAACGCTTAAATGTAACACTTTTATAAATTCTTTTTAAGTACCACAGTGTTAACCAGAGTATGCAATAAATCTCATTGTGACCGCTCTTATCTGTTGTAAAGAGGTAGCCGATATAACCTGTGTCAACTTGCTTGAAATTTAAATATAAAACAACTTAACCAGTATCGACTGAATCGCTCGTTTTGTTATTATCTACACTACTTATATTTTCAAGTGTAAATATTATTATTTGAGAATTTCTTTTATACATAGATAATATGTGTGATAAAATTTTGAAATGTAACTTTAATATTGCTAATTATAAAATCATAAAGTTTTATCAGGATCGTCAACCAAATAGCCGATTTCAGAGCAGATCAAGTTTAATTAATTTTTTAAAAAAACATTAAACTTATGCCAAATACAAACACGTCGTGTGTGGCACACAACTCTAAGTTGTTATCAAAAATCTCTTCATTAAAAACTAAAATACGGGGTCGTTGTAACGTCTGCAAGTTCTTTCCGATCGGAAAGATCCTTAATAAGGCTTGCAATGCTGGGACAATCTGGTTCTCTCGGGTTTGCATGCAAGTTAGTTACGTCGATGGTACATCAATCAAGACGACTGGGATCTCTGGCTCAATAATAATAAAGTAAGCCAAGATCTGATTCTGGCATTGTTTCAACAAATGTGCTTCTTGGAAAACGATTGCATTGCGTGCTACACACCAATGATTGGGTTAACAATTTTTCGAAAATACAAACCTGCTTACTTTGTCGAATTAAATTCACAAATTACTAAACGAATCCTTTGTAATAGCAGCGCACTAACATTGTGTCATATTGGATATTAACAAATAAGTTTCTAAAGGTTAAAATGCTTTGCTAAACTATATAAGTTGCTTTGTAGTTTTCAGTACTACTACAATTTGTAATTTGATTACACAACTTCTTGGTATTGATTTAAATATTGTATATTTTTTATCTGTTTCGAGATGACGTTAATATTGATCTTAATATTTGGACAGTGTCAGAGATTATATCGAAGATACCAGTTTATCATGGTTATGGATTTATTATTTTATTAATCACTGAATTTACATTTGACATATTAAATTTGTAGTCACTTTAAAATGTTTTTATTTTCTTATTTATATTACTAATATTATGGTGCTTTCGACAGTAGTCCGTGCATTTTAGGAAGCTACCCATTCCTAAGCAAACAACACTACGTCCAGAGCTCACGACTGCTCACGAAAACAAAACAACCATTTCATTGTCAAATTTTAAAAATGAAGACACAACCTCTCAAGGGAAATTACTAAAACTAACACCGTTAAATGCTTTAGCCAGTCAGGGGATTGAAAACCATAAGCTTATGCATATAAGTCCCAATATTCTGTAATACTTGTTCAGCGTTGCAACGCTCATTTATCTTTGCCTTAGAGGCCGATGCAATTAATCAAGAGCCGTTGTCACGGCGGTAATATACAGCAGATAAAGGTGGAGAGATGATTTCAGGCTAATTATAAAAGTTGTTTCATGAACCTTCTTTTTGGACCCACTTAACACCTACCGGGCCAATTTGTCGATTGTTTTTTTCGCACTCAAACGATTCGGCATAAGTAGCGTGTACTTGAGGCGGTGCAATGTTGCAATTATAAGTACAGATGAAAGGTCATAAAAGAGAGTAAATAGGGTAATAAATTACCAGCATTGTATGCAATCAAAATGCAGGAAGTACAGATGTAAGGGAATAACTAAAATTGTAATAAACCGCGAAGTCTTATATCTAATCGTAAATTTCTTAACATGAATTTTATTTAGATTAATTGGCAGTTTGATAGTTTTGATTTTATGATCTCAATTTTTCGAACTAGTTACCATTCGTATTCATCATCTCATGTCAGCCATTATCAGTCCACTGCTGAACATAGGCCTTTCCCATAGACTGCCGTAAGGAACGGGGCCGTTCCTTTTATTTATACGATACTTTACAATTATTGTTTAGATACCAATTTATTGTGGAAAATCTATTTTATTTATCCATAAATAATTAGTATTGTTTATTCAAATGCTATTAATTTAATTGAAGTGAGGATGTGGAGATAAATATCGTGTTTTCTTCTAATTTCTTTTAATGATCTACATTTCATTTTAACCAACTTCAAAAAGAAGAATTCTTTTAATACGGTTGTATTTTTTTACGTTTGTAACCTTATAATTCTATCAGTTATTTTGAAACAGATTAGTATCTGTAAGTATGTATATATTTTTTTAAATTAATAAATTATTTTCCAAATCGGTTTACAATCTAGGGAGTTATGAGTATAGAAAGATTATAGAATTTTATTAAAATTAAGCTCACTAATTCAGTTTTTTCATCAAAATAACTGAATTTTCTACAACTGAAGTTTTTTTTAAGTAAAGTTTTTAAGTGGACCGTCAGCTTGTTTGCCATTCTAAGTAGAATGGCAAACAAGCTGACGGCCCACCTGATGGAAAGTGGTAACCGTCGCCTATAGACATGAACAGTACCATGGACATAACAGAGTATACTGTTTCGTCCATGATACCTTCATGCGTTGCCATTTTTGAGGACCCACATGTTACTCCTCTGTACCTTGTTAATTTACTGCCATATCCATCCATATGAATTTGGCATGCCATATGAAATCGGTTTTGTGTGAAACTTAATCTTCTCATTACATTAAGTATACGCATATCTATAATTAATGTTATAAACAACCTGACAAGTATCATATTATAGAGAAAGTAGCCATAAAATATAAAAGCGGGCTTGTAAAACTCTATAAAACGGACCTCACAATTTCAACTCACATAGAATTAAGTACCTCATTGTTTTATGCAACATAGCATGGCAAACAAGCTGACGGCCCACCTGATGGAAAGTGGTAACCGTCGCCTATAGACATGAGCAGTACCATGAACATAACAATGTATACTGTTTCGCCCATAATATCCCCCCCCCCCCATACGTTGCCATTCCTGAGGACTAAAGTATTATGCCTCTGTACCCTGTAAATTCATTGCCATATCCTATCTTTCAAAAAGAAACACAGCCATGCAAACACAACTGATTCACAATTGAAAGACGAATGGGACAGAGGTGCCTATGCAAATTATTTTTTGTAACTGTAACACCTATTATTTTCTATTTTTTTTTTTAATTATCTAAGTTTTTTTTATTTCCACCAATTCACAATTTCATTTAGACATTCAAAGGTTGACTAGAAGGGATAGCTTTTATGGAATAAGTCCGCCATTATAATCATTATATTTTTAAGAACTCTGTATTCTGTAATTTAAGACTTTACTGTACAATAAAATGTTACGAACAAATAAACTTTTGTACAAAGTGTCCCTCTGGTAAGCTCTCCCTCAAATTAATTGCATTTGTTATCTCTGTTTGAATAATTAGTTGCAGCTCATTGTTGGTTGTTAGAATCGTATGATAGTCGACGTTTACCGGTTTATAGTAAAAGATTCGGATTTAGTGAAGAGGTATTAAGTGAATACTTTATGAGTACACGGTAAATATTTACCCGATTGAATTATCACCAACAATTTCGTCTTGAACTCTCTCCTCATTTAAGAGTTTCCTCTTGTCGGTGCAACTAATTCATGCATCTTCTTCCAGCCAGTTCGGTCCCAGGCCATATTTTTGACCTCCCTATACGACACCTAGTGTTTCTTTTATCTGTCCCATGTAGTTATTCCTTGGTCTTCCCCTTCCTCTTTTGCCTTCTATTTTTCCTTCTACTATGCTCTTTAAAAAATCGACATGTCGTATAAGGTAGGTCAGCATTTTGCTTCTTCTATTCTCTATTGTTTTAATTAATATTCTTTTCTCATTCATTCTTTTTCCTCATTCGTTAGTTCAACACAAAACTTTAAATTTATATTTTATTTAACTGTATATTTGTTTAAGTTTTCTAAATATTAATAGTTGTAGCACTTCAGCTGTCTGCTGACGACATGCTTTCTTACTATATTGGGTTGACTGGAAGAGATCTCTCCAGAGATAAGTCCACTCTTGCTCACTACATTTATAAATGCATTATATTACATGTAATTTACAAGTGCAATAAAGAATATATTATAAAACTTCGCGGGAAAATGGATCAGTATATGTAAAAAAATTGTCTCCAAAATAGAATAAATTAATAATTAAATACCATTGAAACTATTAATTAAATTTTCATTTCAATAATTAACTGTCCACTGCTGAACATGTCTTCTCCATAAGGGGAGTTTTGTCAGTATTTGCCATGCTTGGCAGGCGGGTTGGCAGTCACGGTTAGGCTTTTAGAGATATTTTAAGAGGAACGCTGCTGCCCATCTCTCGTACTCCCTATATCGCTTCTTACAACACCCACGGAAAAGGAAGGGGTGGCCTATTCTATGCCGGGACTACACCGTCGATCCAATTTCTAGTCGATAAATGATAACATTTAAAATAATTGGCTCCATTGTTTTTATTTCTCAATACAAGTTTGTGTGTAATGTAGAAATAATCATTTTTTATTTTGTTTCAGATGTCCGCAATAGATCCCGACTGCGGAGTCAACGCCATTGTCAACTACACTCTGGGTGATGGTGCAGCTCGATCCCAATTTACCGTCAAATCTGATAGCGGAGAACTCTGTATTGCTTCACCTTTGGACCATGAGATCAGCAGTGAATTCGAGTTTCCCGTCATTGCCACTGATAGAGGTACGTATCGAGGTAATCACATAAATAATAGAGCGATTTATATTTCTCGGTGAAGTTCAGAGTCACGCTTCGCGTACCTCAAATAGTCTCCGTTTAAAAACCCCAGCACATACCTCCGTGTACTACACCAAATCCTTTTCCGTTCAGGCAGTGCGCCTATGGAACTCGCTGCCACCGTCTATACAGAGTGCGCAATCCTTGGCTTCGTTTAAAGGACAAGTCAAATCACATTTTCTTTCACTGTAGTTACTCTTTTCCACTCCTTTGTAATTTTTGGACTAGATTTGTCATATTTCCTTGTGTGTGCTATGTATGTATTTATATGTGTATGTTTATGTATTTTGTATGTATGTTATATGTGATTATGTATGTATATATATATGTATGTGTATGTGTATGTATGTATGTATATATATTGTTATAGTAAGTAGTGTAATAAATTATATGTATTTGATATTTTTGTGCATTACATGTTTTTGTATTTTGTGCACGAAAATTGTTGATTCACTCTTGCGCCACCAGCCCTTTTCTATCTGTTCTCCCTTAACTAAAGGTTGTCTGTAAGAGATTGCCCTAGCGATAGGTACCTTTATGTGTATATTTCAATCTGTATTTATGTTACTGTATTTCATTTGAATTATTCACTTGTCATTGTATATTATTATTTATGGTGCAATAAAGAGTTAAATAAATAAATAAATAATCACATAATACTGGCACATCATATCGGCCGTTATAAGTCCACTTCGGAACATAGGCCTCTCCTTTATTTTATTTATTTATTCAAGGCAAACAAACAGCTAAAGTAATACATAATTATATACTTAAATAGTAATTTGGTAGCCACTAGAATTTGCACAAAATAAAATACAAGTAAACGAAACACAAAATTAGACAATACTAAATTAAACAAATATAAACAAAATTAAACAAACAAATACTACTGAAAACTACAGCAACATTGTCAATAATAATAATGCTCACAAGTTAATAAAACATTTTTTCAGAAAAACTTTAGTATGTTTTGCCCGTAGTTGCCATGCTTGGCAGCCGGGATGGCAACCGCAGTTAGCTTTTTGGTGATGTTTCGAGACAGATGCTGCTGCCCTTCCTTTGACCATTAAATTTCCTTAGTTACCTCTTACGACATGCATATTACTTATACTTAGACAAGCATAAGAAAAGGTCCTGATCCACTTGCATCAACTGACTCCTTGTAATTCATTTAATGTCGTCACTCCATTTAGTGGTAGTTCGCACTACACCGCATTTGCCCGTACGGGGTCGCTTAAGAGCCTTTCCTTTCCAGTGGGTGTCGTAAGAGGAGGCTAAGGGAATTTAATGGTCAAAAGGGTAAATTATGGCCAAATCCTAATTACGGTTACCAATAAGGTTACTAAGCGTGACAACTATTGGAAAAACTCTCCAAGGGGAAGTCCTCTAATCAGCAATAATAATAACGGCTGATATGATAATGTTATAAACGTTTCCTGTCTTAAGATTTTTTTTTAACTTTTTAGTTTCTCACAATTAAGCCATCCGCACACGCGCGCCGTAGCTCAAAAGTGCGGCAAGTTGACTCCGAAATAAATTCAGAATGTGTCCATCGTTCCCTTGCGGACCTTGATTTATGGGGCGAGCAACAGCCAACTATTACCTCGGTTTTTTATTTCCACCAATCGGACCCAGCAAGTTTGTTTCGTTAAGCCGAAATTTCGAATTGAATTTCGAATTAGCTATTTCGGAATTAAGCGTGTGTACGTAACACGTAAGTGGCGACCTGTAGACTGTTTCAAAAATATTTAACGAACTGGTAATCGTATTTTATCGATATTATTATAGAAAAATAAAATTTGAAAAAAATCTAATCAATTTTTTTAAAATTATTTGTATAACTACAATTAGTCAGATTATTAGAGGGAGACTTTATACAAAAGTCGTTTGCTTGGGCACTTCTGTCCGATTGGTATTTCTACCGTTTAGCAGTTGTGTTTGCATGGCTGCGGTTTGAAGAGTGGGATATGGCAGTTACTATAGTAATTTACAGAGTACAGAGGAATAATACCTGAGTCCTCAGGAATGGCAACGCATCAGAGATATCATGCAACTTAGAATGGCAAACAAGCTGACGGCCCACCTGATGGAAAGTGGTAACCGTCGCCTATAGACATGAACAGTACCATGGACATAACAGAGTATACTGTTTCGCCCATGATACCCCCCATGCGTTGCCATTGTGTTATTTCTTTGTATCCTGTAAATTCACTGCCATATCCCATCCTTCAAATCGAAACACAACTGCTTTACGGTAGAAACACAAATGGGACAGGACAGGAGTGCCCAAGCAAACGACTTTTGTACAAAGTCCCCCTCTGATATAGTCGAGTGTATTTGAATCTAACATAACAAGGGCTGAAGCTATTATAGTGAATTAATTTAATAATTGATAGCTTAATTTAAAAATTACAAATATATTATTATAATAAGAATTTCTTTATTTAATATAACAATTATATAATTATTGCTTTAAATGAAAATAACAATTAACTCTCTCCTTTTTAACTGATATAATTATTTATAAGTGCAATATAAATGTATAATTATTTCATCATTAATTTTCATTGCATAGCTTCATAACTACATAATTATGTTGATCGAGTGAAACTTAACACAACAAAAGAGTTTAGCATAATTGCACTTTACTAGTCACGGAACCTTGACAATACTAAAAAGGAGCCTATAAGTGAACACGTACAATTAGGGTTGCCAATTATTTGGATATATCTGGATTTTAGGCTCGAACTTTCACAATTTTTTTATTAGATTTTGTAGTCAAACTTTGTATTTTGTTTAATTTTCTGACTAAATTATATTAAAATACTTTATTTACTTATTTCAATTACTTTATTGGTCGAAAGAAAATATGGTAAAAAAGACGGAGTTAATGCTAGTAGCATTCTGTACCAGTCAACCTTTTGGAGGATTAGTAAATCACGAACGAGGTACTTCATTATTGGGATAATAGATTAGTATTTTTTTATCTTTTTTATATAAGTAATTAATCAGTATCTTCTGAGTTTAAGCCTTAAAAAGGAAATAATTATGCTCACAATTATAATTATTAATGGGGTAGTCAGAGGTATTGATCAGTGTTGCCTTTTAAATATCACGAGACAGGATTTGCCTAATGTGGGGCCAAATCTATCATAAGCCGATCTTGTTCATGTTCAATAAATAATGAACTCAAAATTTGTCGCTCAAATATATTATTTCTTTCTTCCTCCATTGCCGTTACTTATTTAGATTCTCCCCTTTTATACTTTTTGTATCTCTTATTTCATTTTATAATCAAAATGGCTGAACTATTCAAATCTCCGATTGTCCGATCTGCACTTATCGAAATGGCAACCCTACACACAATGTAAATATAACGATTATTTTATTATCACGAACCATGTCCGAGACGAAGCGTTGACAACGGCATAAATCAACTAGCTGTCAATTAAACATCGTATTACAACAATACACAATCAAGACACCAATTATTTATTCGCAGGGGGCCTGTCCACGACCGCTATGGTGAAGATCCAACTGCTTGATATAAATGACAACGTACCAGCATTCGTTGTGAAGGACTACAATGTCTCTTTGAAAGAAGGCAGGATATCATCGAACGAACCCATTGTGGCGGTCTCCGCTACAGATTCAGATTCAGGCAGATTCGGAATGGTCACGTACAGAATTGTTAGTGGCAATGATAATGATGTATTCAGAATTGATAGAGGCACAGGTGATATACTTGTAACGAAGCCGGCGTTGATACAAGCTAATGCTAAATATGATTTGGAAGTATCCGCTACGGACGGCGGAGGTCTGACCGCACCGCAAGGGGCTGTGGTACATATAAATGTATTGCCAGCTGGTATTGGTTCAGCGTTGTTCGATAAACCAAGATACAATTTTCGTATAGTTGAAGATGTAGGAGTTGGAGCTGTTGTTGGTACTTTGAAGGCTACTGTCGGCGACAGAGGTGAGTTCATTTTTATTTTTCCTTCTTTATTTAAGGTATTTAATTCAGAATATGATATAGTAATAAAATGACGTCGAGAAAGGCTTATAATATGTACTCCGAAATACAGTTATTGTATTTAAAAAATTACCAAATATGACTGAGGAATATGGCCGAAATTTTACTATACATGTAACATGAACATTTGCAAAAATATTTGTATGTTATTAGTCAATCACGCTTAAACGTATTGATTAATTTGAATGGAATATTGTACATAGATATTTTATTTTTAGCCGACTTAAAAAAGGAGGATTTCCATGTTACACTGTATATTTCTTTTTTATGTAAGTCCACCGATATCTCTATCAATCGTAGGTAGATTTTAAAAATTCTTTTTTTAGATCAATAGTTAGAATAATGTTAATTCTGATTATAATGTTTACTAATATTGAAAATGTTTTTTTTTAATCTTTCTTACCAAATCAACTACATGTCAAATTGTAAATCAATCACATATTTCGAAATATGTTCCAAATCAAAGTTATTCGGTTTCATGAATACCATCGGATTTCTGATTAACAAACTCTCATCGTATTATGTGCTATAAACTCAAATATGTATATTATTTTAAGACTAAGTGATGGTACCAGTAAGTTTTAACGAAACCTATTACGCGTTAATAAAACATCTCTAATAAACATTCTTGAAATGAAAGCGGCTGTATAAACGTTTAGGGTTACCGTATAGCGAAAGTTACTTAGGGAAAAGGTATATTAATGTTTAGGAAAGGTGAACTACCGTTGAGTCAAATTACCTTATGGCTTCATTTCGCTTTAACAAATTTATTGAAATCGTGCCACTGGGAGATTGGTGTAAATTATAAGCATTAGCGATGTGCCAAGATAAAAACACGAGTACTTTTTTATAAGAAGGAGATCTTTGTTTTTATATAAAATATCTAATAATTTCAAAGGAACAAACAGATCATTAATATAATAAAAGGCCGGCAGCACACCTGCAATGCCGCTGGTATTGTGGGTGATCATGGGCGGCGGTAGTCACTTACCATCAGGTGAGCCGCATGCTCGTTTGCCCCCTGTGTTGTAAAAAAAAAAATATAGGTCAAGATTTAAATATTAATTCCACTCATATATATCACGACTTTTAGGAGTTTCTTTTACAATGAATAGTAATACGATTTGAACAACTTAATTTTACTTCATCAGTTCAAAGATTTCAAAGAGTCGTTGTGTTGTATCTAGATCTGCATATAAAATCAAGCTCAAAATGTGATGATAATGTCTACAAACAATAAGGTTTTGAATATTCTTTTTAAAGATTACTTGTAATTAACACTCGTGATCTTGTTTTATGGGGAATATTTTTAATTATTTGGTTTGGTCATTTGGATAGGATGGATGAAAGAGTTACGAAAGAGATTTATCGAACAAGAATGAATGGAGATGTCGGTAGGGGCTACTCTAGATGGACGTATGTTGACCAAAAAGGCGACGTGTTGAAAAAGGGCCAAATCAAAAGTACCCGTAACCGGCGAGCGTGTATGAAAAGATTGATGAATGTGGAAGAAGCAAAAGAAATTTGTTTGAATCGAAGCATTTGGCGTTCCATTGTTTCTGCCTACCCTAATGGGAGACAGGCATGACAGATATGTATGTATGTATTCTAAATTATTCAAATATATCCCTTCCTCCCGATTTCGTTACAAAACTCCCCTGCTGGCTTAAGATTGCATCCGTACACAACAGTATATGGATCAATATGATGAGATTCATACTAAAACCAAACATTTTGACAGTTCTTACCTTTGTCGAGTTATTAAATCATGGAATTTTCTTCCGAGATTTGTGTTTCCTGTCACGTTTAACTTGGATTTCTTCAATAGTGGCATGAAAAAGTATTTACATAAGCCAGTGTCGTGTAAATTAGGTTAGAAGCAGTCTTGCATTGGATCTACAACCTATACACTTAACATCAGGTAGTTAAAGAGTTAGTTTCGTGCCATTATAAAAAAACTGTCTTTTTTTTTCTTTTTTTTATACAACTTAGAATGGCAAACAAGCTGACAGCCCACCTGATGGAAAGTGGTAACCGTCGCCTATAGACATGAGCAGTACCATGGACATAACAGAGTATACTGTTTCGCCCATGATACCCCCCATGCGTTGCCATTCCTGAGGCCTCAGGTGTTATTCCTCTGTACCCAGTAAATTCACGCCAAAAATGTCTTGCTATAAATGGTTCCTAAATTGGTATAATATATCTATGACATATTTTTATCAGAACAATGAGATTTTTTTTCAATACCGATTTGTCACTAAGAAAGTCAGTCTAAGAAACTATTTTCATATACGCTAAGTCTTTCAACGCTCCGCTTCTAAATCGAACCAAACACCCAAACGTTCGGATACCTATATACAATACGTAATCGCCTATTGTCTAGTATGAAGATCACGACCAGTTGATCTGCGGCCGTGGTACCTTTCGGATGGACCACGTCTTTTGTAAGTTTCTGTACCTGCCGTGCTTTGAATAAATCATTTTAGCCTATAGATAAATATGTTTTAGAATATATTTGTGCGGACAGTATCAACTTTGTTCAGGATGTGCATGGTTAGACGGAAATGGGAATAAATAGAAATGCAGTTATATTTTTCACTGAACGTCTACCCTCCAAGAAAGTATAGTCGAAATTCAAATGTATTAGGTAGAGATTTTGTACAAAAGTAGCACTTGTGTTTCTATCTACGTTTGCATATCTGTTTTTAGGTTTAAAGAGTATTGGTGATAAAATTACAGGGCATGGCAGCATCTTACTCTCTTATATATCTGTTTGAACTATTACATTGTATTGTTACTTTTTTTGTAAATTGAGAATTTGACTGAAAAAAAGAGGCAGAATGAAACACTTTAATAGCTAAAATAGGTTTATGAAATATTTGATGTTTTTTTTTTCTCTGTACCCAGTAAATTCACGCCATATCCCCCCCACTCTTCAAACCGAAATACAGCCATGCAAACACAACTGCTTCACGATAGAAACACGAATGGGACAGAGGTACCCAAGCAGTCGACTTTTGTACAAAGTCTCCCTCTGGTAATAATGATGATACATAGGAACACCAACAGCATATTTTAATATAACATATATAACAAACATTAGATACATATAATACAATATTAATGCACATCTCTATTAAAGTATTTCTTTAACATAATTATACTAAAAATAAATATAAATTAAATTATATATTTATATGTATTATGGGCTATTAATATAAATTATAAATATTCGCTTGTATTAATGTAATCATGAAATTAGATATTCATACGCTAAACAAGTATTATTACCGCTTGTTCCTTGCAAATCTGCAACGTTCCAATAAATGCGTAAATGTACTAATATCGCCGCCATTACCAAGTTGAAACCCGTACAATTCCTGTTGATACATCGTTGATAAATCAGGCGTTGGCCAATAAAGCACGGCACGGACTATCTCACTCGAACGCGGTGCGTTTCACTAATATTTATACTACAAGATTTTCCATAATGGACTCTTTTACACCATATCGTAATCTATATATTAATTTACACCTCTGTTCCATTCGTGTTTCAACCGTGAAGCAGTTGTGTTTGCATGACTGTGTTTCAGTTCGAAGGGTGGGATATGGCAGTGAATTTACAGGGTACAGAGGAATAACACCTGAGTCCTCAGGAATGGGCAATCACTAGTTTTTGCAATAATTTCATCCAATCCAATGGAAACAACAAAAGCTGATGGGACTATTGACCGATGATACCCTAGTCCTCTTAGAGCTATGGGTGGTTGCAAGTATTCAGTATTGTTCTTAGTGCATATGTATAACTCTGTACAATATAAATGAAAATCTAAATGCTTAATTATTTGAATAATTATTAGAATTACCTCAAATTTAAAATTATTATTAATAACCTCATATTTCATCAAATTTGAAAGAAAATATTTTTTTTTGCTTTCAAGTTTAATGAAATAATGTTTTAAATATTTTCATTCTATTTTATTTGAATGAATGAATGAATGAATGAGTGGTTTATTTTCTCTTCACAAAAGGTAGAATACATTTTATTCTACAACTTGAGGTACAATTTGATATGAAGACCAATTTTGTGAGAGACTGGTGCTTGCGGTAGGTTTAAAAGAACCTGTGTTCTTATTTTATTGTTTCCTCCAAAAGATTACAATAGTAAACTTATTATAAATATAAACAATTACAAGAAATAATCACAATGAGAAAACAATCTTATCGCTAAAAGCTAATTTTAGTACCGATCTTGGAAATAGTTTTGTAATATTTATATCAAATATAAATACCTGATTTTATGAATACCTAATTTTTATTATTGATTACTTTTCGATATGAATTGAATCACGACCTAATTTATGTTCAAGAAGTCAATTTAAATATATATAAAAAGCGTGAAAATTAGAAATTTACTTTTAAATTACATTTAAACTTGAAAACGCAAATTTCCCTTAAAAACCTAATAATTATGATTGTGTTGTTGGAGTTTTAATACTGACTGTTGACGTTGAGGTTTTTTAAGACAATGTATTATTTTTAAGTTTGTTCTATGTCAGATTTTCATAAGACATGTCTCGTATTTTTTTCACTAAACTTATTATTTTATATCACAAACACATATATGTTTTATTACTGCATCCTGCTATTTACAACATATGTTTCCCAAAAAAATGATTTGAATTGTGGCAAAGTCATTTGTTCTGATTTGAAAACAAAACTACTAGACGGATTTTGTTAAAATTTCTATAGAACTAATCTGTAAGTATATCGTTTTAGATAAAAAAGAATTTTTCAAATCTGTTTACAACTGACAGAGTTATGAGGTAACAAACATAAAAACAATATATATCCGAATTGACAACCTCCTTGTTCTCGGAGTCGATTGAAAACTATCAGCTAATACAGTACGGTGTGAGCCACGGCCGCGGGGCTAGGCT